CTTTATAAAAAAAAAAAGTCTGTCTTTTAATAAAAGTAATTCCTATAGAGTTTGATATTTAATCTTAAATAAATATTAATGTGGAGAACTGCTCCATTGGTTGTTCTTCGTTATCTGTGAATTCTGACAGCGGGTTTCGAGAGGAGCAGTGGGGGAAGGTTGGTTGTTATGAATATTGTTTGGCAGAAAGTCAGGCATATTCTGCGGTTTCATATGAATGATATCTGCTGAAAGTCAGCTAGCTTCCCAACCAACTCTGCTCACTGTGCCTTAGCAACCACGGGGAAAAATCTGCTGCCACATGGAAACGGATTGGGATTCATGACAACACTCCCTCCATCCAGCCACCCTCAGACAACGGTAGCATTTCATCTACTGAGCACAGCACCCATATCTTATTTCTGCTTAAACCTCCTATAATTTAGACAGTAGCAAGTGATGTCGAATGCAAAAATTTGAAGGTGGCAAAGCAATAAGCCAAATTATTCGGTAATTTTCTTTCCCTTCCCCCACTTCTTGCCTGGCATGACTAAGCACTGGGGATGGATAAATGAGCATTTACTCCTGCAGAAATTGCTGCCTTCTTGTGTTGCAGGTTGAGAGGAGGGTGTGTCGGACAGGTAGAGCCCAGCTTTGTGCCAGGATTCATGTTCAGATCAGGGCTGGAGTGGAAACTCTCTAATTATTCTAGCTGCTTGCTTTTAGCAAGTCCAGCAAATCTTTTGGAAGAAAAAAACCCACAGGCTTTCATCAGTTGTAACAGTTGCAGTTGTTTCTATAGCTATTATGGCATTATCATTGTCATGGTTCGTAATGAGACAAAGATTCTGTCTAGGAAAAAAATAATTACTTTTTGATTTGTGTGTGGAGGGGGAGAGAAGCCTGAGGGAAATTAAGTAAATACCCCTGGTGGATTTTTTTTAATTTTTCCTGAGCTACTGTATTGTTAGAGTTGAATGATTAGTAAAGAGAGAAAAACACAAACATATGATTGTATTAAAGCTGAATCCAAATTCACTCTCAATCTGTGATCCTTTTCTGTACTCTGTGTCTCATGGTTGGAACGTGAGAAGTTTCCAGCATGAATACTTGTGAAAGTGTATTTTAGGCTTGGATGCTTAAATGCTAGTTGGAAATCTGTCTGAATATGTAATTTCCTTTGTGGTCACATTAGCCAATTTAGGATTCAGGTGTTGAGCAGTTGCTGAAATCCCCCTGTCAGGAAATAGAAGTGATCTCGTTACCAGGTAGTCTGTGCTACACCACGTGCATTTCAAAATGGGATTATTTTTTTTTCAGTCTATTTATATTTAGAGAAATAAGCCCTGACAGAGGACGACACTGAAGTGTTTGCTTAACTTTAAGCATACTGAGTAATCCTATTTGGAATGCACAAGTGTTACACTGAATTCTTTAGGGACACAGTGATAGTGCCCTGAAACTATGAAACTATCATGGGCATGTTTGCAAATTAAGCCTTGATCAAACAGACAAATATTTATGAGCATATTGTGAACTGAAAAGAAGTAAAGTTTGATTGCACGTTGCAAACTCTTAATGTGGCATTATACTTAATTTTTGTTAATGCAACCAGTTAAAAACCTAGTTATTTGAAAAACTTGGAGTGGAAGCTTAAACAATTTGCTGGGAGGGGAAGAGCCCTGATTCTGCCTCATCTTGTTTCCTTTAGGTTAATATAAATCCTGCTGTAAAAGAGTCAGAAAAATGGATAATCTTGATTAATCAAAAAAATGTTTTACTTCCCTATTTTTGCTAAAGCTATACTTTTCTTGCTAGCTGCACAGGAATGTCAGAAGCCTTTAGGAAAAAAAGCAAAACATTTGCATCCCACATTTGAAATTATTTTCTTATAATTTCTATGGCCTCTTCTGTGGTGTTACAGTGTGACTTCTAGTGTAGACAGGTTGCTGGCTGCTATAAATCCCAGCTGAGGAAAGCACTTGAACTGGAGCTCCAAGCACTCTTGCTTTGTTTCCTCCTGAGCGTGATGGGGACTAAATTGCTAGCAGATGTATGGAGCCTTGTTGATGCTGCCGCGGCTGCAGCTCTGGTGACGGCGGAAATATTGGAATATTGGCAGTTGTTGGAACAGCCTGGGCAGGAGGCAAAGCACGGGCAACTTGTAGGCAAGTCATCCTCTGAAGCTGAGGCCAAAGTAAAATCCCAAGATCAAAAACCAAGGAGAAAACTCAAATGTATCATCATGAAGCATGACTGAAAATGTGCTCTACAGTGTCTTTAGCCCTTGATTAGAACATTAACCAGGTTGTAGTAAATGCATAGGGAGTTGCTATAGTGGAGCCAGTTCAATACTCTGGTGAGTAAAGAACTAAGTCAGCATCTGACAGTAAGACACAGCTTGATCTTTCCAATGGAGACCAAAATGTGCCTTCATTAGCACACTTTGCATGTCATGCAGTATGTCGTGGGGCAATTTCTATCCAAACCTTTCAAAAATCAGTTTGTGCTTATATTTTAAAATATTATCATCAATATCTTTACATGCTTAGCTTTAAATAATGGCAGAGATTCTCAGCTTGTTTAAAAAGATTGCCACAACGCAGGTGGAGAACCGTACACTTGGCCTTGTTGAACTTTTTGGGGTTCACATGGGTCTGCTTCTCAAGCCTGTCAAAGCCCCTCTGGATGGCATCCTGTCCCTCTAGGCTATCAGTCACATTGCACAGCTTGGTGTCACCCACAAACTCAGTAATACCAGTCCTGGACCCCTGTGGGACACCAGTCGTCGCTGGTTTCCACCCAGACATCAAGCTGTTGACCACAACTTTTTGAGAACAACCATCCAGCCAATTTTTTATCCACTGGGTGGCCCACCCCTCAAATCCATGCCTCCCTACTTTAGAGACAAAGGTGTGCGTGGGATGGTATGAAATGCTTTGCCAGGTGGATGATGTCAGTTGCTCTTTCCTTATCCATGAATGCTGTAACCCCGTTGTAAAAAGCTACCAAATTTGTCCTTTTTGCTGAGTTTGGTCTGACGCTGTTGTGTAACTGCACCCTGCAGTAGCAGTATTTTCTCTGGCTGAGGCTCAGTGGTCTTCTGAATGCTGGGGACTGGGCCAGTGCAATGCCCGGGGCTGTAGCTGGGATCAGCTTGCTGATGATAATGTCGTTAGCGCCAGCCTGGGAATGGAGCAGGGAGGGGGGGAAATGGATGTATGAGTTTCGACCCTGCTGCTGCAGTGAGTGAGGCTTGTTGAGTGAAAGACTTGGACAGGGCCCAAGTGAAGTGGTGGTATGTAGGGCTGCTGCAGAGCCGAGGTGTTAATGACGTGCTGGTTAGGACGAGTAAGTGGGATCTGAGGCAACGTTGCGCTCTTACGGCGTCTTTGTTGGGTGCAGGAGAGGGGACTTAAGCTTTTATGTTATAGTATTTCCATATGGAGCTACTGTTACGCATGGAACTACACTAACATTTGTGATGAGCGTGGAAGGGTAAACAGCGTTAGAAGCTTCTGTGGTTTCTTGTCACTTCCATTCTCATTCTAAAAATACAGTAACAAGAATATAGAGGGGGAAAAAAGCAGGTGGCATTACTGAAATATGGATTCTGTATTTCTTACAGCATGTGAAGGATGATTTTTTTTTTTTTTATGATTACAATATACCAAGTGTGAATTGGATTCTTCTCAAAGAGAGGAATTAATTATGCTGCCTACAAGTTGGAATAATGTGAGGGAGCACCACACAATCCTCCCATTGTGCTGCCAGTGCACCTGCGTGATGTCTTCTGTTCCTCTTCCAGACTTCTTTTAGGCAATATTTATTTGTGTCTTGTGTGGCTTGTAGTAAGATAGAAGTTGCCAGTAAGCATCAGAGTAGACAATATCTTGTCTTTTAACACTGACAAGGTACGGAAGTGTCATGGTGAGCAAAGGTGGGGTAACCTGACTCGCAGAGATGTTTATCCTGTCTCTGTTTGCCTTCCAGAGTTCTGGTTCACTGTTAATTATATAACTTTAAATCCCCAATCTTTATTGATCAGCGGTAAGGTTTTGGCATTTGCGTTGCCTTTCTGTGAAGAGTTATGTGTCCTTATCCTTTGTGTCTCCTCAAATAGGAATCCTCTCTAATTTCATTGAGTGATCGGTTATTCTCCTGTTACATAAAACAGAGCACAGAAAGCCTGTCTTTTCTCTGTGCCATTTCATTATTTTCTATAATTGCATTATGTCTACTGTAATCTCTCCTTTGTAAGGTAAATATTCACATTCTTCTGTGACTCTTCTCATATTAAAATTTATCCCAACCCTTTATTATTCCTACTGTTATTATTGTCCAAATCCTGTCTAACATTGGAGAGTCCATTTTTCGAGATGCTGTTACCAGTGCAGCATGTGGGAAGGCAGAGATAATGCTGATCTATGTAAGAGCAATGTTACCTCCCTACTGGTCACCAATTTATTCCTCATTTATCCTAATATTTTTTTTTAACTACAGTTAAGAATTTCATTTACAAGAGTGGTTTTCCTTGAGAAGTGTTCTGTGATCCTGAGGTGTCTTTACTGAATTTATAAAATTTGCTTTGAGAAGTATTATAGCACGTGTAACTACATGTTCTGCCTCTAGCACGTGCTACTTTTAGTGTTGAGCTTATCATGATACTATCTTTTCACCTAGCTTTTTTAGGTTTATCTTGAAATTTTTCACTGTCATTTCTGGTCTTTCCTGACCCAAATAGTTGTGTGTCGTCTACAGACATTGCCATCCTATTGCTTATCTTCTTTTCCGGATCAAGAATAAATATAGTAAACAATACAGAACTGAGTTTACCAACCCTTTTTCCTGATGTGAAACAAAATAATTTGGAGACTTTGGTTAGAACTACACAGATGATTTGATAATTTTTTTTAATTTAGATTTCAATAGCTAAAAGCCCTAGATTGCTGTGATTTTTTTTTTTTTTCTTTCATACAGAAAACAGAACAAAACTAAAACTCTACCAAATTGTCTTACAGACCCTGTCCAGAAGAATTTCAAATCCCTATTTGGAAACTCCTTCAAACAAGGTACTTGTTAAGCTTCTTTTAATTCAGTTTCATCAACATATTCAGAATCCTTTTGCTTAACCTCTTAATCATAGCTTTGAGGACACTTGGTAATGTGGCCTGCAGTTAAATCCGGTTAACAAGTTATGATTTGTGTGTTAGAGATTGTCTGCTTCTACTATGGAATTTACAAACCAAATTGTTGTGAATTCCAGTGTGCGCTCACTTCCCAGCTGTTTAAATGATTGCCACTGTTTAGCTTACTTTTGGACTATTTGAGAGCTCTGGTTTTGCACCTCACAAGACTTTACTGTCTCAGGACTGTTTTATATCCCTCAAAAGATTCCTAAACAAAGGAGGCAACAACAAAAAAAAAAGTGAAAATTCAGCATTGGTTTTCTTTCAGGTTAGTTATTTGAGTTATTTGTGTTACTGATGTGTTTTGGGGGGAAGGTGAGGAATCATCACCACAGAAGCCTGAGTTAAATTTCACAATAAGGATTGGTATAGAGAGTCCAGGTGGAACGTGGTTTTATGGAAGATGGAGCTGGGTCCTGTTTTGATAGACGCATCTGCAGCCTTGAGGTGAAAGGTAGAAATGTGAAAAGAAAGGTGAAAGGTCTAGGGGAAGTCAGAGGTGTGTCTGTTCTGCAAGACCACGTCCTCCTGGCAAAGTATGGGTGACCTGACCTGTAGCTATCACAGGATACCTCCAAAGTTTCTGAACAAAAAGAAAAAAAACCTATGAGATGGTGTTTCAACGTGGTGCATTAGGCTGGTATTAAATTATTTAACCCAAATACCTATGGAATAATGTTTAAATTTCAACTGTATTTGTGTGGTTTTGCAATGGTTAATATAGTCTTTTTGCTTTGTTTACATTTGAATGTGTCTGTTCAAAGGTGAAGCTGAGGGATAGTGAAACCTCTGCTTTTCTAAGGCAGCAAAAGTAAAAGCAGTCCAGCTGGTGGGGGCATTTGAAACCCACGGTACTGCTGGGGATGGCAGAAGTTGGGGTGGGTTTACTATGAACCCCCTATGAAACCCCCTATGAAACCCCCTATGCATTTGCCTGCTTGCTTGTTGTTCAGCTGGGGAGCAGGCATTGCTCAGAGCGAGGGAGCTGACAGTGCCAAGGCAATTTACTACAGCAGGAATAAATCCCTGTTTGTCACATTTTTCAATTTCTCTTTTTATTCAGATTTATGGAGAAAGTTCTTCTTGTGCTGGGAGAGCTCTCAGGAATATTTTCACTCTACAGGCGTCTGACCTGATTAAAGACAGGGTGTACCTTACTGGCATTTGCAGGTAACCCGAGATCACGTGTTTTAATCAACTTGATGGGTTTTATTTGCGTATGTCTATGCCATGATTTGACAAGAGAGTTCTAAGAGTGAGAATTTATGCGTGTTACTAAGAGTCAAGAATATTTTCTAAAAAAAAAAAAAGTGTTAAAATACATGAGATTTTAAAGATCTTTTCTTATGTTACTTTTTCAGTTGCCAGAAAGCAGCAGTGGCCTGATTGTACGTCCATTAATTTAATTGCTTATGATTTCATATGCAATTGTGTTTGTGTGTTATTTTGTTGAAAAGAAAGAGTATTAAATTCAAGTTACAGAAGTTACAAAAGAGATTAATTGGATTCCTAAGATTTAGTTACACAGTGATTTTTTGCATGTAATTTATGGAATTTTTCAGTAATGAATTGATTTTCCATTTGCGTTGCATTACATCATAAATGCTTCCTCCTATTTGCAATTATGCCAAAATGTGCAGGTCTCTGTTATAGCACCATTCATTCATATCCATATTTAAGGAAAAGTCACAACTTCTTGGTTTTTTATGATTTAAAAAGATAAGTTTACCAGTAATGTGAAAGATGAAGCATATCCTAGAGCAACACTCAAGGTCTTATCCATATATTGTGTAGCTGTATTGCTTATGCCTGTGCTCAGAGAGGAAATAAAATCCTGAGGCTAAAAGCTGGATTTTATTTAGTTCTTATACATCTTCGGATATCTGTCTGTATGCAGCACAAATTGCTAAAACTACTCCATATTGTAAAGTGCCACATGAATTAAGTATGTAAGGGAACTTACTCATCTCACATGAATTCCCCTTATTGTAACTAGGGGCATCCCCTGAGACTTGCCAGAATAATTTTTTCCCTAGAAATGAATAGGATTACAGAAATTAGTAATTGAGACAAAAGTTTTGCCCTGCTGAACAAAAGTGTTTGCTTTTAATAGCTTTTAAAATGGAGCACTTTATAATAAAGGAGCATTTTAGCATTACTGTGGTGTAAGAAGTGATGTTTTGCTTATTTTCAGGAGAAGCTGTGTTGGGTCGGAACTGGTGGACTGGCTTTTGGAGCAGTGCCCTTTTGTTAAGTGCAGATCTACAGCAGTTGGAGTCTGGCAGCTCCTCCTGGATATGGGCATTATATTGTCAGGTCAGTCTTGATAGTACTTTTAGCGTGAGGAAGAAACTTCTATCAGTTTCTCCTGCATAGGATAGGACTCATGCTTTGATGGGAGAGGAAGAAGGGAAAAGAAAAAAAAAAAAAGGCAGACTGGTCAATTTTTCTTGACAGTTGTTTGTTTTACTCTCTCTTCCATAGGCTCAACCTTTCATTTCATAAATACCAAAGATGAATTTTTTTATTTTTTTTTTCTTCTGGAAATGTCCTTCCTTTTGCTTTTGAAAATGTAATTACCTATTACCAAGTTGCAGACAGTGTGTGTGCCTTTTCCGGCCTATTATTTTTTTTCTCCCCAGCTCTTTTCTTAGCAGCTCTTTAGTCACTGGAAATCATGGCCTTGCCAGATGACTTCTCTAGCTATTAGTGATTTTCTCTTCCTCTCTCTGTTTTTCATAGTTTTAGATTACAATAGATTGAGAGAGGATTCAGCTCCTTGAGAAGGTGGCATCTAACTGGATGTCCCCACCTTCCCCACTAAATTTAGGGGTTAGGTCCAGCTAATGTGGTTGGCTGTAATTGCACCAGTAAGCAGCCTCTGGAAATCTGATGGACTTGACTTTGTAGCTGGGACTACTTAGGTAGCATATGCAACCCCGGGGTCATAGACACTTAACTTTCCTCCTTGCAAAAAGGTGAGGTGTTTTGAAAGGTTTTTGTTTGTAGAATCATAGAATGGTTTGGGTTGGAAGGGACCTTAAAGATCCTCAAGTTCCAACCCCCCTGCCCTGGGCAGGGACAGCTCCCACCAGAACAGCTTGTTCAAAGCCCCGTCCAGCCTGGTCTTGAACACCTCCAGGGATGGGGCAGCCACAGCTTCTCTGGGCAACCTCTTCCAGTGTCTCACCACCCTCACAGTAAAGAATTTCTTTCCAATATCTAATCTAAATCTCCTCCCTTTCAGTTTAAAACTGTTGCCCCTCTACTTATCACTCCACTCCCTGATAGAGTCCCTCCCCATCTCTCCTGTAGCCCCTTCAGGTACTGGAAGGGGCTCTAAGGTCTCCCCGAGCCTTCTTTTCTCCAGGCTGAACAACCCCAACTCTCTCAGCCTGTCCTCATAGGAGAGGTGCTCCAGCCCTCTGATCATCTTCATAGCCCTCCTCTGGACCCGTTCCAACAGGTCCATGTCCTTCAGTACACTTAAAGGTTTTCTTCTGCTCTAACTACACCGACAGTATGTCTGATTGTGCAGCCTCAACAAGGGCTGAAGGACTCTCCCAGTCTTCCATCCTGGTACAACCCCTGTTATGCCAGGGAAGGTGACAGCTGTTGCACTGGTGCATCATCTTACCCAGGTCTCATCTACAGATCCAGTAGCCCTGAGTTTGAGGAGAAGCTGGGGTAATGATGGGCTGCATCCATGTTATTGAGCTTTGTTTACTGGTGCCTGGCCACTAGTGAGAACAGATTAGAGGCCAATGGAAATCGAAGCTCAGAAACCTGAGACAAGTGGAAGGCTTTTATCCCCTAATTCTGAACTGATTCCAGAATCGATTAAATTCTCAGCAGTCTTAATGCTTCAATTTCAGGAGCCTGGAGATCTTCAAATTGAGGTTTTAGGGTTGTCCTGTTTGGATGCATTGAGTGAAGACGAGAGGGCAGGATTGCTTCTGTTTGTGATCCACTAGCGCTACGTGGTGTTGCACCTCAGCATTAAAGTCAAGTGCAATACAGAATGTGGTGGGGACACAGAACCTTCACGTGGAAAAGGTTTAAAGGCTATCTAATGTTATTTTTTTCTAACAGTGGACAGACAACTCTATTTCCAAGACAGTTACACTTTCTACCAGTTCTCGGCAGATGAATGTACCTACCTTTTCTGTGAATTTGAGAAAGAGGAAGGATGGAAGAATGGAGTAAAGCTCCTGCTTCAACTGCTGCCATTGTCTCCTCCCAGGATTGACATGTGTAATCTGTAAGTGTGTGAATACAGCTGTTTGCAACTTTTGCTGACTATTTTGTGAGTGGCTGGCTTATAATGACACTGTTTACCCCCAAACCATGGTGCAAACGAACCAGCTTTCACTTCAGAATTGACAAGATTTGTTGAGGGGGACATTTCATCTGAGAAATTGTGGGTAAATAAATGAAAGCACTCGACTTGAGGCTTTTGGCATATTGTGGTTCTCATGCATTAGCTTGCTGACTCTAGCTTACTGTATTACCTAGGCAAATGGCTTTATTAGTCTTTGGTCTCTTACATTTGGAGGTTTGGCAGGAATTTGGCAGCAGGCATGCTGTGGAACTGATTGGCTAGCAGATCAGATGCCCTTGTTCTGTGTCAGGATCAGCCATCAGATGGATAGAGAGGATGGGTAGAAATGTGGTACCTTCAGTCATCTGTGAAGAATCATTACTCTGCCAGTACTAGTATTTATTCTCTTTGATGTCAAAGACAAAACTTTCTTCTCTACGTATTAGACTTTAAAAATACATTGTCTCAAATAAATGTCCAATGGAAATATTTTAGAGGAGCACAAAGCCCAAAGTCCCTGTAAGCTGTCTCAAGCCCAGCTTCTAAAATTCAGACATATTGAGCTGGTAGAAAAATTTCTCAGTAATTTCTCTGCATGGCTCAGGGCAGGAGCTTGATTCTCTCCCCTGTTGCTGACTGCCCTCACCAACCACAAATTGGCTGTTCTGGAGCAGGGATTGCCTTGAAAATGCATTTATTTGGTCAGCTTGAGTGAGTGTTGCCAAGTGTCAAGGACCCCAAATAGGCTAGAGCATGGGGACTGAATATGATCTTCTAAGCAGATGACTCATGTGGGAGAAAGCCTTTAAATATTTTTGCAAATAGAAATTCTTGTCTTCCAGCCTACTCTGGTGCTAAGCAGTTTGGCTGTCCCTTAAATATCAAGATGATTTCGTCTTGATTTCAGTTGCAATTGGGGTTTTCTTCGTTATCATTGCAAATTAGGCCACTTTTCAAGGTTGGTGACTACTCGCTCAAAGGCTTGGAATCAACAAGGCAGAGCAGATAGGTTGTATTGATGTGCTACCTGAAGGATGCGGACTAGAAAAATGGATTGAAGACTCCTTAGATTCGAGTTAAAAATGTGTCCCGTACGCTGACCCTGGCCCCAGAGTACCACTATTTTACTGTCTGCTTTGCAGTTTTATCGTTCTAGTGCAATGTGTCATTTCTAGTGGAGGATGATCCCTGTCACATGAATTGAACAATTATTCGTTAATGTACATTTCCAGCTCCTTCCTGCTCACATTATTCAAATTTTAGTTGAAGTTGGATTCCTTCTGGGAATATTGTCGCTGAAGAATTATTTTTCCAGAGGTTTTACCTGTCAGATTGTGAGGGTGCTTTTTTAAAAAAAGAAAATATATTGAAGGAATTGAATTTTAAATAATGGTATACTCTCAATGGAGTGTGGTATTAAAGGGAAATAAGGCTTTTCCAGGTTCAAAATTCTCCATGCTTGATGCAAAACTGCTAAAACACAATCTGAAAGGGAATTTAATCGATGAAGTGTTTTTTAAAGTTATCTGGCCAGGTTACCCTTTCTCATGAAGAAAGAGGGCAATTCTTAAAACTCTTCCTTGCAATGAGTATTTGTCTTTTCTCAAATATGTAAACTGTTTTGCATACCATTTGAATACCATCATCTTCCTTGTAATTTAATGTTTTTGTATTCATTTTTCTACCCTAGTTTTTCTCATAGTCTGTATTGATGGCACTAATTCTGTGTACATAGAGGAAATTCTTACCTTGTTAATTAGATTCTTGGCTTTTGATGCAGTCAGAAGCGACTGCCTGCTTGCGTACCAGAAGGCAACCCTGGACATCTCCTGGTGGTCTCGGGCACCAGATGAGTTCTGTCACCCCTGCAGCTGGCGGGCAGCAGGACTGATGGGTGCAGTGGTGGGTTTCTGTGGAGCATCATGGGTCTGCTCTCCAAGAAGTTACCTGTAGACCTGAGTAGACAGTAGTAGCTCTGGGGACTTCCCTCAGCAGCTTTTCTGGAAACCCTGTTAAATAAATGTGGCCCAGTCTCGACTTGCTGTACAGATTTTTGATGGAATCGTATTTGTTTCTGGGTGTATTAGCAGTGTTACCAAAGAATGTGGTACGTTCTACAGTTAGAATAGTGTTCTGAAGCCCAAGATGTGCTTACAGTTCCTGGATAAGTACTCCCTGTTGCCTTTTGACTTTGACAAATAACATTGGTGGGAATCCACCATGGAAAACAAGACAGGACCCGGCAGATTTTTAGCAGCTCACACTAAACTGAAGGCTAATGTGTATTCCACAGGACTGAGCCCCTGTAAATGTTGTCAGATGAGGTGGGACTGATGCTGAGGCCTCTTGGGGTCATTAAACACCCTATGTTAATCACAGCCAATTCTGCTTGAGTATAAAAGAATTGAATATTGCAATAGCCTGGGAACAAAAGACCTGCATTGAAAGCTGTGCCATGGATTTCCTTACAACCTTGAGCAATCACTTAGGCTCTCATCCAGTGCCTCCTGAATTCTTTTCCAGTGACTGCAATGGCTTTGTATCAGGTGTTTAATCTTTATGTGCTTCTATTTCCTCCTTTGTAAATGGGGGTGTTTATAACAACACCTAATTCCCGGAACCACTGGTAGACTCAGTGAACTTTGGATTCCAGACTGCACTGTTGAAACATATCCCATAAAATTTTCTAAATTATTTGAAGAGATGTTAACAGGACTTTTTTTTTTTTTTATCTCAGATTCCTTGTTATTTTCTGTATCTTCTGTCCTGAAATAGCTTACATTTTATTAATTTCAGAAAAGTAATCATTCTTAAAAGTAACTTGGAGTTGATGCAAATAGCCAGTTTATTCACTTAGCTACTGCCTTGTGGAATTCCTGGAAAGCTTTTGCTGAATGCAAACAGTTCTCAGGTGTCTGTGGGTCTTTTAATGGCATTGTAAGTGGGACGTAAAGCCAGTGTAGAGGCCTATGTTGTGGCTTTACATTGGGTGTTTGAGCTCCAGGCACAGGACCATGGGTGTATCCATATTGCTTCCTCCATCAGCAGGTCAGGAAGCACTGTAGTTGCTTTCATGTAGTGCACAGTAATAATTGTACTGGACCTGACTCACCTGCATGCAGATCTAGGGCAGGCATCCCTACATCTCACTCTGCTTAACACACTACTGAGCCCACAGACCACTGAGCTCTGCAGACATTAAGTTTTTTTGCCTGGGCTTTGTAGCTCCTGTTTGGTACCAACCCTCCTAGGCCTTGGCTGGACCCTTTGGAAAAAAAAAATAAAATAGGGTAATATTTGTCCTGTTTCTGTTCCTCAGTATCCATTTTTGCATTAGCCTGGGTATCATAATGCTCTTCCACTCTGATTCTGGAGAGCTGACTATAATTTCTAGTATATTAATGGTTTCAGAAGTATTTGATGCTCATATGCAGATGAATACTGGGAGGATTTTTAAATAGAAGATGAAGTGATAAAGGCCCAAGATGGAAATAGCTGTGCTATATGCTGTTCTGGGTTTATAGATTGCATCTGTGGCTGTGTTTACTGAGCTGCTATCTTTTGCCTCCAATTTAGAAGAACCAGGTCCTAGTCTGGTTCAGAGAGATCAAAAGAGATCAGGTGTGTGGAGAAACATAGGCATATAAAGAGGTCAGTTCTCTTGTTCTCATTTCAAATTATAAAGAGAAAGACTGAATAAAATCAGTCTTTGTAACTGAAACTGCATTCATTTATTTCTTTTGGGCTGTTTGTAACACTTAACATTTTAAGTCACATCTTTCTTTGAATAGAAAGGCTGTTGAGAACATTAATTGTGATTTCTAATCTGAATTACCATTTTGGTCTGAATGTGCTAGCTCCATAATGAATGCATGTGTCATTCTGTGCTTTCTGACCTTAATTTTTTAATCAGGGAAAGAAATTTTTGGATATGGGATGTAAGAACCAGAATATACCAGCTGCATGTTCCACACATGTTGTCAGCTCTCTCCCTATACATCAGGGCACACGAGCAATTAAATAATTTAGTCAAAGATAGAAGCATCTGCCAATACCTGGGATTTCTGTTTATTTCAGCAGCTGCAAGTTTTGTGTATCTGGTCCGTTTGCTGGGATGCCACGCTTCTTGAATACCATGAAAAGTAGAGACTGAAGGGCATTTTCTTGTTGTTCTTCCCATAGTATCAACCCTATCATATCGGTACCTTTCTTCTGTTTGTCAATAAACCTTCCAAAAGGCTTGCAGGTGTTTCACTGATGGGAGTTGGACTAATTTGAAAAATAAACAGTCCTATCCCATGCTCTCCACAGCAGCTTTTGTGTGGCTTTTTCCACGTAGCCCAGACTTCTATGACACTTTCTAGATGGGTTCCTCCTGCACTGCCCCACTTCTGCAAAGACACATTAAGTCTCTGTCTTGCGAGTAACTGTCAAGTCAACCTAATAACTTTCTCAGCCATGGCTTTAGTTTGCTTATTTACGGCTTCTTGCATGTATTCTTTTCATCATCACATTATTATTATTTTTTTTAAATTCAAACTGCGTGTGTCACATAATGATTTTGATGTTGTCTACTTTTATCTACGTGAACTTGCATTCCATAGGTGTTCCTCTACAACTTGGCAAAGCTGGATAGCAGATAGATGGAAAACTTTGCTCTGTTGATGGAGTATGTTTTTAGCAGAGCAAGATACGCATTCAAATAAGCAACTCTGAGCTAAGGGGGTCCTACATTCTTCAGTTTGTCATCATATTTTTATAGCTGAAGAATTCTCTCACTGTTTTACATTAGTTCAATCAAAAGAGTTCTTGACAACAAGGGACAAAGGGTGTACTCTGTCGTTAGTGACACAATTCATTATTGTCATGTTGCAGTCATCATTTTGATGTGGAATCTTAAAAGCTCTTTTACGTTAGTGCCTGTGGCTGCACAGGTCCTTGCTTTTCAGGAATCAAAAGATGTTGAAACAAAATGAAAGAAATAATAAAATCTAATTTTTATTTTTTTTTAAGGCCCGATCAAAAAATAGAAGACACGGCAGAGACCAATGCTGAGATTCTTGCTCGTCTCACTTCTGCGGTAAGGTCACTGCATCAAAGTTGGTACTGATCATGTTTGAAATATTGTCATGTCTTGGATCCTTTCAAATTAAAGACTTAGTCTTAGCGAGCAGGTGTTTGTAATGCAAACTACTTTTTATTGTCTTTGAAAGGAGGAAGTTTTACTGATGTCTTAGTGTGTAATTCCCAAGCTATTAAAATCAGTCTAAGCAAGAACTGCTGCAGCCTCTCTCTCGTAATCCCTGCTATTCATGGCCCAGGAGATACCAGTTTGGAGGATCATGGTGATTTTTCTGCCAGGTGGCTTACACTGAGATTCTCTTGGTCAAGTGGACATCAGTGTGAAGACAATGGTGGGGTGGGGGTCCAAAGGAAGAGAAAAAGCCTCAGCAGCCCTGGCATAGGTTATCATAATCTTCTGAGGAGACCCACCTGGGAAGCCTGCCAATCTGACTTCCCAACTATATTTACCCTCAACAAACTCCATCATAATAAACAACAGCTTGTCCTGTCTGTGCTAGATTTTGGTACCTCTTGTTCATCTTGTAAGATCATTGCTCTAAGAAACAGAGAGACAGGACTTCAGAAGGTTAAGCTAAATTCACTCGATGTAATGTAATTTATATGATGGTGCAGAGCTCACCTCCAACAAGTTTGCAGGTGATGCAAAACTGTGAGGAATGGTTGATACACCAGATCAGGTGGTGTCAAAACGACTGACCTTTGCTCCTGCATTTTCTGATTTTCCACACTGTGCAGGCTCTCTATAACAATTTTCTAGTCTAACCCTGGGAAAAAGCTGTAAGACCAGAGAGAATCCTCCAAATATTAACATTTGTATATGAACTTCTCTGTCTTACCCCACCAGAATATTGCTTTTCCTCCATACAGTAGACTGGGTTCTGAAGTACTCACTGTGAATTTATGGAGAGCCTTATTTGAACCCTCTGCTTTCACCACTCAGCAGAGGGCTGGACGCACCAGGATACAGGTTCTCTTTTTTTTTTTTTTTTTTCCTGTGGGCAGGAACTGGAAATCCAAAGTGAAGGAATTTGCTGGGACGGGATGAACCCTCTGCTTTCACCACTCAGCAGAGGGCTGGACGCACCAGGATACAGGTTCTTTTTTTTTTTTTTTTTTCCTGTGAGCAGGAACTGGAAATCCAAAGTGAAGGTATTAGCTGTGACTGGAAATGTGTTCACACTGTCTTCATTTTTGGCTCACTGAATGTTTACGTATTTTGTACAGAATCAAACCAGTCTCCCTTGAAGAATTCATAATTCAGAATCCTGTTCACAATACTCTTCAGAGCAGTGTGAAAACAAACCAAAAACCTTACTTCCAGCCCAGCAATAAAGCAGTCAGAGATCAGAGTTGACTTTTTTGTACGTTGCTAGGTTTGGAGGTTCAAATCCCATCAGTGTTGATAGCACCACTGTCTCTTCTTTTTTTTTTTTTTTTTTTCCTTGTAATGGAACAAAACGTTCTGTGTCAGATCAAAAGGATGCTTCTGTGTCAGCTTTTCTTTTCTTTTTTGAGGGATTAAATTCCCAAATTTTCAAAATTAAACTGGTTGTGAAGATCCAGCCCAAGCAACACTGGAGGAATCTGTGTGCCTAAAATAGAACTCACAGTTTTAGCATCTGAAAGCGCAGGAAAAGCTGTAAGCACGTGTGCATGTAAGGTCTAATTATGTATTTTTGTAACTCTGTAAAAGCTCTTGCTGTTGCAGGGGGTGGAACTCACCTCACCTAAATGCAAGTGCATCTACATCTGAGCTGGCTTCCCCAGGGCTCCTTGCAGCCAGGGACGAGAGACAGGCACTTTTAGGATGATTCATTTTGAAAGCCCACTTTAGGGACAGGGAGTCATACTTTAGGCTCCACTGGTAAGGTATGGACTCTCTATGAAGGGGTTACAGAGGGACTAGCACAGACGTAGAGGCATCTGTACAAGTTTGGTGAATTCTTCTCTCTACCTCTTTTTCTTTACTCTAGTCTGACTTTCTTTGTTGGCCTTTCTCTTGTTCCTTATTTCCCGCTGCTTTTTGTTACCAGGTGGTGTTTCCCTTGTAGAGTTCCACTTTTGACATTCACTGCACAATTTGTGATCTTTTTTTTTTTTTTTGATGATTCAGCCAGTCTAGAACTGATTAGTTAGGGAAGTGCACTCTTGGTTTTAAACAATGGTTATGGGGATTGTAGAAGATAACAGCGATAGCTGTGGTGAATGATGCCAAGTCAGAAGGGCAGCAGGGAAAAAACTGCAGAGGTTTCTTATCATCTTAATTTTTTGCATAATGTATGGAAAACTCCTCTTTTAAGAGCAGAGTCAGGTACAGAGATAAGAAACTAACTTGTTAGGGGTCTCTCTTTGCTTTATTCTACGATGGAAGAAGCAGAGTCAGTCAAGATAACTGAAGAGAGCCTATTGAATTATATGCTCATATCATATGCTCCATTACAATGAGACACTGACAACACCATTAAACTTAAATTGTAAATGCAGCTGATGTGCAGACAGTGCAAAGTGCCATTTGAAATACATTTGCGTTGGATAATATTTTTCGGCACGAATCTTTAAGAAAATGCAATAATTACTCCTGGGTTTAAAGAAGCATTCCAGAGCTGTCGTGCATTCCAGCCCCAAGAACAGCTTCATTTTGAATGTCTTGTCTGCTAAAACCAGAGCACAGTGGGATGGCTGTGAGGGTTTCCACTGCAAAGAATATCAGGGTGTTAATGCAGTATATCTGGGAAATATAGTCTTCTGGTACTTTAAGGTGTAAGCTAATACTACTTTAAATAAAAGTCCTTTAAACTATCATTACTTGAGATGCAAAAATGTGAACTAAACTCTTTTTCAAATCCCTGCTGTTTTAGAGTTTTCTGTTGCGGGATTTCATTTTGAGATTCTGTAAGGATTGCCATTTTGTCCCTAGATCTGAAGTCCTATTTGGCACATTGAATACAGTTTCACAAAAGAGTACTATAGGCAGAAAAAGAGAGGGGAAAAAAGTAGAATTGGTACTAGATGCACAACTATGCCTTCTATGATAAAATGAGCAGATTCATGGGTAAGAGAAGAACAGTGGTTGTCATTTACTTTTGAAAAATCTCTACCTCTGTCCTTTGAAGATGAGAAGATTCACCATATAAATGTCATTTGTATTTAGTCAAGCAGAAGTATATGTGGGTACCACTCTGTATGCACACTCTTGCTCTTTCATATTGCAAAATGAAAACTGATTAAGATGTGGTAGCATGCCAAAAGCACACTCAAAATGTTCTCTTTCAGACTTTCATAATATTTCTGTGAATACTGTGTGGTAAGCTGGCCTTTAAACTGCATCAGTTTTGACATTTGCAATGCTACTCAAAATGGGATACTATTTAGATAGTGCTAGCTTTGTAGCAACAACCTATATGTATAAACCAGGTTTTTGTATTTAATACCTCAATTTATTATGGTAGGCGTAGCTCTTGTTTGAATGTGTATTTTACTTTGAGTGCACATTATTATCTTCAATGTGATGTGCAACTATCGATTTTGCCAAACAGGCAGTAACTGAAATGCTATTAGGAAGAAGTATGATAATGTGTAGCACGTGTGCAGTGAGGAATGAATGTTGCACACGGATTTCCATCAGTGTAATGATGCATAGGAATTGCATGTCCAGCAGAGATGTCAAGTGCATTTATGCTAAAATAGACAAAAACATATAGATTATGAAATTGAGGGACACCAGGCAAATCCAGATGGATGCTCAGCAGTACCACTTCTTTGGGATTTGAGTGAGGCCTATGAGAGGGAGATCAGACTGTCAGGATGAAATCCTTTGATGAAGCAATGTTTGCTTAATATTAAGACTAGAGAAACAGTTTGGTTTTTTTCTCCTGCCTTAACTGAAGGGTTTTGCTCAGATTAAGTAATATGCCAGCTGCATTCCTGGCACACAGCAAACAATGAGTTATTTTGCATAATATAGACGAGATGCAGAAAACCAGCCTCTTTATTGCCTGTGATGGTAGCACTGTCTTTCAAACTTGAAAAGTGCCATTTTATAAGCAAAAGTAATACTGCAAATATAACCACAGGATGCCACAATGCTGTTTTTGCTTCTGAGAAGGTGGGTTTTTTTTCACACTCATGAAGAAATTTGCATTTTTCAATTGTTTGATTGGGTTAATTGGTATGTTTACAACTACTGCAGATTATAGTGTCTCCTAAGGCTAATCTTGAGATAATGTATCTATTAAATCCTAAAAGATAAAGATGAGACATCAGTGCACTGTTTCTCACTGTCAGTAACCTGTGAGAATAGATCGGGATCGGGGCATTGACATTGGTCTCCTGCTGAGTTTAATGAAGGGAGAGGGTCTGAGCAGTTTAGCCATGAAAAGTTGTGGTGCTGTTATTCAGAAACAACTTGGCCTTTTATTGAAAATCCCACTCTAACTCTAGATAGCTTGTATGTATTATTATAGTGTGTGTTAACTGCTGCAGGCAAGCAAGCACGCAAATTGTTTTTCCACAGAAGAATTGCTCTTTCCCATCTTACTTGCAGCTTATGCTTACATTAACCATGATTAACAGTTCTCCAGACATGGGAATGAGTGTACAGGAAGGAAGGAAGGGAAGGTAATTCTGCCAGCTTGCACAATTGTGCTGGAAACAGGACGACATTTAAGAAAACCATGGCACTGCCTTCATATTTTCCTGCTTGGAGTGGCAGAAAACTCTGTCCCTCTCAGTGGGACAGCATCAAGGAGTAGAAAAGATCCTTGCAAGGACAGCAAAAAAAAGCTCCTTGGTCCTTTGCTACAAGGGAAGGAAGGATGCAAACAGAGGAAGGATGTGGCCTCCTGTATGCCTGCCTTCTGCCACACGTAGAACATACTGCTGGGTGGCTGCTGAGTGTCTGACCAGTGGGTGCTGGAGTTACCCTTGTACTGACATGCCCTGGGTGACTTGGTCTTTCTGCTCAGACCAATATAATATTAACTATTCTTTTTTTCACATTTTCAGACTTTTCTTCAGAGTTGTGCGAGATGTTGACAGTTGTCGTAACTGTATTACTTTGGGGATCCTTCATGGGCTTTGTGCCTTGTTCTGATCATACCACATGTCCTGTGAATGAGGTTTTAAATTTCACATGCTCTCAGAAACTGGGTGTCAAAACTCCCACTGCGGAATAGCCCTGAGCTTTGCATAGGTCTGTTAGACAAGGTGGCTGGTATGCCCTGCAGGAGACTTTGCACAGAGAGGTCAGGCAATCCCTAGAAAATTAATTGGAGTGTCCCATATATATATTTTTTTTTTAATACTAAAGAGAGGCTGACTTGGGAAAATGAGGGAAATTGGAAGAAGCTGGGGGGCATACAGAAGAGTGAGAGTGTGGATGGGGCAGAGGAAGGGAAGAACTGGGGTGTATGCAGGAGAGTGTGTGGGGTGCTCCAGGTCAAGTGCAGGGCACTTGAAGCAGTTGCAATGGGACAGACAATGGCAGGGAGAGAAAAACAATGCACAATACAGAATTTTACTGATAAAAAAAGGAACAGGCCTATGGAGAGAAGTGTATGGAGTTGAGCTGGCTAAAGGGACAGTAGCTGGTCATGTAGAGATGATAGGGAAAGTATGAAGAATGAGGAAGGGAGCTGGCTAGCGTGGCTGGTGAGATAGCCTGTAAATCTGGAAATCCGATAGCTCTTACTTCTGTGTGTTCATCTCAAGATAAATTTTGGTCCTGGAATGCTCAGCCATGCTATTAGGAGAGGTTGTTTCCTGAAAGCTCCATAAAGCACATGTCATTTATATACGTGAACCTCAGCCAAACCTCAGCGTGGAGAGCTCTCTTATCCTGGAGTCACACCGTAAATCCAGCATTACAGTGTGCTCAGCAGAGGCAAAGCAAACATTTAACAAGGAAAGGAAGAAGTTTCAAGTGTGTGCTTGTGAAAGAGATACGCTGTGCAAATAAATTACAGGTCAGACTACCGAATTGTCCACTCCCTAAGGAATGTGCAGTATTTACATGAAATTAAAGTTTTTTTAAAAAAATAGTTGTCACAGAATTCCCAGCTGAAAAGGAAATAGATTTGCTAGGAAAAGTCACTGTAGCTTCAAAACCAAGTACCTGCATAATTCCACGTGCAGCTGACTGCTCCAAAGGATTGATAGCTGGTATCTTACCAGTGTTGCATTTTGTTTTGTACCGGTATCTTACCAGTGTTGCATTTTGTTTTGTTTGACTGTGCTAGTAACTATAACCATCCTTCCTTTTCTTGGTATTTTAGGTACAGAGAGAACTGGCTGCTGTCATTGCCTTGAAAGCAAGGAAGTCAGGTGAGTCAGGCTGGAATTTAGAGGGGGTTTTGTAATGCTGTTCCCTTTTGTCATTTATTGAAGTACTTGAATTGTCATTGCTGTCTTATTAACATGGGGAAGCAAAGACAGAGGACCTCATTCCTCTCTTGTTGGAGAATCTGTGTATATAGCACAATGCAATTACTGTCAAGCTTTGCTTCCCCTAGCTCGTCACATCTAATGACCTAGCTGATAAAATCAGAGTGTTACAGTTCAATGTGAATGTGGATCTTTTTCTGGCCAAAATCACTTGTTTTCTCTGGGCTTGCACTTTACAGAAGAAGCTTAAGTCTGTGTTTGACTTATATTTAAGACAAATAAGTTGATAATTTTCCTATGTTTTCCTTTATGGCACATTATATCATGCCATCTTCACTGTGTTTTACCGGCCCAGTCAGATGTATTTCATTATGCTAAAGCAAAAGGACAGCTTCATCCATGAAGGTGTTCTTTCCTGAAGACCTGTCTATCCATCTGTATGGCTGTAGGGGCAAGTCTCTCTTACCAGGGCAGTAGAAGAGGAAAGGCAAATGGGTAAATTAAAGTCTTTGACAGTATAAACACTTACAGCAAACGCTGGTGGCAGAGTGAAAAGCACTGAAATACGTGGTCATCTCAGCTCGGTCAGGGTTTGGTAGCACAGCCACTTTCAGAGGGTATCTGCATGGCTGAGCTGGAGTAGAAGCAAGGGAACTGTGTTTGCCAGGCACTGCATGGGAACCAACAAAACCTACTTGGCCAGACCTGACTCTGCAGCCTTTGAGGTCTTTGGGAGCATTTTCACTGGGCATCTCTTGTGATCTTCAGTGATTTGAGAAATGGAGACTGTGGATCTCGTGCTTTTTGAGCTATTTTCTGACCTGTTAATAATATTGTGTCATACCACCTGTATCTGTCTACTGTCTATGTGTGGCTTACAAATACAGCACAAAAATTATTACACACAACACATACACTACATACAACGTGATATATTAAACTGGAGGCACCGAGAAGACGTGGCTGATGTATCTGCAAATATTTCCTTGTGAAATTGTAAGTATTACAAAAATACTCTAGGCACAGTTTGATGCATTTTTGTCTGGAAATAGAAATACCTACAGGTTATATCCACAGTCATCCGTAAATGTAAGTCTGCAGAAAGTAAACACAAATCTAAGTGTGAATTCAGACCTAAATTGCTTCTGTGTAATACCTTTGCTTCTGAAACTGCTGTAGTAGTTTATGATGTTAACACCCCTCAGCTGCTTGCTCTTACCTGGTGTCACCCCAGTCCCACCTGAATTATCATGGCTGAACATGGAACTGCTTCTGCTCTGGTTCAGTGCAGAGAAAAACAGGCTGTTTTAAGGGAGGGCTCAAGGTAACCTTTAGTTTTGCTATGAAATGGCCAAGAGTATGGTGCCATGTACCTTTTTACTTAGTGATTATACAGTTCTAAAAAATCTCTTTCCCTACTTCTTGGCAGTAATATTCTTGGCAAATATTACTTCTGCTACTGGTGATAAATAAAAACTCCATTCCCAAAAGAATTGATTTTAACCTGAATTAGCCTTTCATTTCCTTTCAGTGGATGGCTACAAAAACGGTTGTGTCAGTAGAGAATGGGATGGTGTTGGGTTAGGAATAAGCTGCAGGAGGTGAAAATGGGAAAGGAGGATAGCTCTTGGAGTCTCTTTTATAGTGGTGTAATAGCAACCCACATTGAGCGGGTAGAAATATTTCAGTTAAAAACCACAGCCTTAAATAAACAAAGCTCCCTGTAGGGCTCTGAAGTGCTGACCAGCCTTTCCTAATACATTAATGTAAACACTTAAAATATCAGTTTAGATCTAACAAAAGATACTTCTTTAGTCAGTTTAACTAGTGTATGCTTGTTGTTGGAATTTGCATTTCTTTATGCCTCATCTTGGATGACTGTAAAAAAAAAATGACTACATGATCAGGCATAACTGTAAGGTCTAATTTAAGTTAATGCCTTTACTACAGTAGGAGCAGAGTAAATTTGGGGTGGTTGATTATGCTTTTTTTATTTTACTGCTATGGTTAAATTCACAGCATAGCAGTTACTGTTAGCAATGAAGCTACGGTATGCTGTGCCTGGTGAAGTGAAGCACATTTCAGAGAAAGCACTTCTGGAGCTAGAAGCCACAGTATCTTTCGAAGATATTGTTCTTCAAACCCTCTCCAAGGCTCCATATAATTCCAGGAAATAAACCAACCAAGATGAGAGGCAGGATTTATTTTGGCATGGAGAGAGTGGAACATGGCTATTGGGCCAGCTGCCCGGGGTGGTTTCCAGGCTGGTGTGAAGAGCGTGGGATCCTGGCTCATCCACCCTGGGATTCAGGATTGGGGAACGCAGGCGATGGGCACGGTCCTAACCTGCTGGCTGGAACCTGCCTGCGGTGGGTAATCGGTTCCTTAACCCAAAGCTTTCCTAGAGATTGGCAGCCCGAAAACCAGAGCGGTTGTGCAGAAGTTCCTATACTGTTTTTGATGGTTTGGTGGTTTTTAAATTACAGTGTTTCAAGATATTCCCTTTAGATAGCCAGTTAGCACTACAAAAAAAAAGAAAAAAGTATTCTTGCTTAATGCAAGGATTGTGTAATTTGTTCCTGAATTAGTTTAATTTCTGGACATACCTCTGTCCCTGGAGAGGCACTTTGCAGTGATTTAATTGTACTAGAAAAACCGGCTGATTAAAGTTTCCTATTACTTGTCTAAGACTGTTGTAATCACCGGGTTATGTTGCGTGGAAAGTGCTATACAAGCCACAAACACCCTCTGCAAGAGATGAAGAGGGTCCAACTAGAAAGGTTGGCTATGCTTGAATAGGGGAGACATCGCCTTTACTTACCAGGGTGAAACAGTTTACATTTTGTTTAAATGAAGCTTGGATTTGCTACCTAGTATAAATATATGAGAAGCAGTAATTGCAACTAGTTCCATTTTTGGGCTGGAATGGCTGTTTCAAAGATTTAGACACTGTATCTACTGACAAAATGCTTTGAAAGGGAAGGTAGAGATCTGAGTCTGCTGCGAGGTAGGGCAGAGCATCAACTTCTTGCTAGTACAGGATCTGACTTGATCTGAATGTTGGCTACCAGAGAGAGAATAAAAAATCAGTGGGATGTGGGGGAGAATGCCTTTCCCCAAGAAGTGCTGTTCTGGTTTTAATGCGGGGTGGAAGAATAGGAGAAACATTAAAATGACAGATGGCTGAAGGAAAAATGCAGAACCTGAAAAATGAAAAACTTCTGTGTTGTGGAAAAGGGCTCCACTTTCATATTTCAGATGTGTACTGCACGTATCCCACTCCAATAGCAATGCTGATGGAGAGGTACTTGAGAGCCCTTGTGCAGAGGGAGCTCAGCATTTTTAGCTTCTTTGCAAATAAAGCTAAAAAAAGAGAGAGTAAAATTAATGCCTGCAATCCTGAAGCTTTGATGGACCTCAGTAACACTGTTGACTAAAAAGCACATTTATATTTCATTAGAATAAAACTCTCATGATAAAGGTGACCTAAGAGGGGAAAATGAGCTTGTGCACTTCTCTATGGCTTATAAAAATGCATTAAAATTGTTCTTGCTTAACCTTAGAAATAAATAGATTAAGTGCTGTCTTCCTTGCTTTGGTAAAAGATCTTGGGGAAGGAAGTAACTGGAGCAGAAGACAAGTTTTTTTTAATTGTAGGCACTTGGCTTTAAAATTGCTGTGTTTATACCTTGCTGGTTTTTTGATGGCTTCCACAACTGTGCTGAAACATAACAGCAAGGCAGCCTCTCATCTGAAGGTTTACAGGGTTTGGCATTTATCTCAATTGCTTGTCATGGCTCATGACATGTTTCTTATGTTTAGAGGTGGTAACTAACACAAGGATAAAAAGCAGCAAATAGCCTAAGGCTGGAGGCTTTAGCCGGTGGCGTAGCTACACAGGAACATCTGAACAGATCACAGTCTGTCAGGTAGATGCTCTGAACTGCTGTTAATCCCATCCACAAACAAGACACTTTGAACCTAGTTGCACCCTGTGGCATCACCCAGCAAATTCCTTTAACTTTATACTTAAAGGAATTTCTGTAATTTTATTCTTGCAAAGGGCCATTAGGAAGACTGTGGCCCCGCTTGTTATGTTTCTGAATGCAGGGGCTAATTAAAATAATAGCTGACAGTATTGATGAGGTAGGAAGGGTGCCAGCATCGTCTTCCCAGGCATGGTGGGAGCAGCAGCAGGGCTCCCTCCCACAGTGAAGGGCAGGGCAGCCACAAAAGCACTAGCACTTCTGTGTGTGGTTTTGCTCCCTCTTAAGAATGATATTCAGGTTTGCACAATACAGTTAGATACATTCTAGTCATGCCATTCTTAAATTGACAAGCTGTATTGATTTTTTTTTTAAATGGGTAATTTAAATTTTATTTATAATAACGTGACTTTTGCCACATACTAACTTTTACATATGAGATCTTCTAGATTACCTCCCCCCCTGTTCTGACATATATGTATGCATATCTACCCTTCCCCTTTTCTTTTGTATTGCTTCTGTCAGGACTTAGCTGCCCATGTGATTCGCTTAGTATTTTTGTTTTGGGGCAGATGATTCAATGTGAAACAGTCACTGGGGCTTGAGCTTTGCCGACATGAATGGAAAGCAAGCTGTGAAGAGCTATTCCTTTCCCCAGCCGCTGCGCCACCTCTACAGTGGAGCTGTCAGAGCCGATTGCGTGACTCGGCTCGAACACACTCCAGGCAATGTCAGCCCGGTTAAAAACATGTGAACGGCCAGGCTGGGTCAGGTTAAAAGTCCATCCAGCTCCGACGTTACTGTGAGTGATGAGTAGGGGATGCTTAGAGTTGAGAAACAGAGCAAGTACAAACAGTCCTCCTCCTGGTGTGCGTACTCAGCATCTACCAGTCTGGGCTAGAAGGATTTTGCTGTACCCACACTGTAGGTGGCCTTGGGTAGACCTTTTCTCCA